TGAAGATTTAATCGAACTGAAAGAAGTTTTGGAAGCACAAAGCATTGTTGAAGAAGTAGTAGAAAAAGAAGAAGAAAAAAAAATTGTAGAAGTTAAGCCCAAAACGTTCAGTGTGAAAAGATTGGCTAGTGTTTTCTCAGGTGTTAACAAAATTTTATCAGAATTAGAAAGTATGGATCCAAATGTAGAACGTTTTAGAAAGGTACATTGGGAAATGTGTGAAATCTTAAAGTGTTATCGTGAAATATACGAAGGAAAAAAGAAAAAAACTGTGGAAACCAAACATGGTGGGTTATTTAAGAAAATTATTCCTTCCCCGACTCCATTTCGCTCCCTATTTCCCTCCCCATCCACAGGAATAGAACACCCAGACCATCCTCAGCCATCAACCAGCTATGCCAGCATAACTGAAGTTTCTGAAAACACAGAAAAAAATGAACCTTTCAAAGGATTTATCTCAAATTTGATGTTTACAGGTACTGTAACTATAAAATCTGATTTTGTACAGGTGGTCCTCGTTTAATGACTGCCTCATGTCACAAGCGCAGTTACAAAGGTGACGAGAAAGCAACTTTACAACCATTTTACGACCTTTACAGGTCTGCAAAGCAAAGGAAATCTGAAGTACCAGTACTGTGCTTATGATCCCGCTTCAGCTTTCCTATCCTTTACAGAGCTGCCAAGGTCGTAAATACAAGGATTGATTGTAAAGTTATTTTTTCATCACTGTTGTAAATGTGAATGGTTGCTAAATGGGGTAGTTCGTAAATGAAGGCTACCTGTAAGATCATACGCATAGGAGCATAGGAGCAGTTTCACTGACCTGGTTGCCAGCCACAGTTATAGTCTACCTGTACTCTTTTATTTTGGTAATGCTGTATTATTATGCCTAATTTTGTATTTACATAGTACAAATAGTCCTCGGGTTAGGATGGCAATTGTGACCAGAATTTCCGTCACTAAGCAATGTGGTTGTAAAGTGTCACATGACCACAACGCTTAGTGATGTCAATCTCAGCATCCCAGTTACCATTATAACCCAGAGACCGCACAGGTGATTCAGAGAGGACCTCATGTGGCTGCAGTTGTAGACAAACAGGCTGCTGGGTGAGAGCTGTGGGCTAGTGGGTAAGTGCCACATGTGAGGGCTGAGTGCGGGAAGGCTGGCAGGGGCCACAGGCAGGCTGGCAGGGACTGCAAGCAGGTGGAGTGTTGGCAGGCTGACAGGGGACACTATAGTGTGCAGGCTGGTGGGGAGGCCCTACTGAGTATGAGAACCCTGGGTTGTCATACTCTGTCATAGGGTTTCTTGGAAGAAGAAGTGGGAGTGACTTATGGGAGTGAACTGTGACCTTCCCTGCCAGCTTCCTCATTGACTTTGCCTACAGGAAGCCTACAGTGAAGGTTGCAAATGACGATCACATAACTGCAGCTCCTGCGACGTCATAATCCACCTGAATCATGACCGCAGGGATGCTGCGACGTCTGGATCTCCGAGGATGGCCATAAGTCCCCCTCGTTCAGTGCCATCATAACTTTGAACGGTTGCTGAATGAGTGGTCGTAATGTGAGGACTACCTGCAAACAAAGTGTTCTTACATTTAGTTTCCATTTAACCTTTGTGTTTCTATTTAGGCTGCTTTGTTAAAAAGGTCTATATACAGTATTAAACCAAAGCTTTAAAAATGTTGCTAAGTTTTAAATTGTCAGAATGATATGCAAAGATTTAAAAGGTAATAAATTGTTATAGTGTATTTTTTAACGGCAAAAATATGTTAGAATTAAAGAGCTCTTTGAAGTAGAACATACAAAATGTTGTTTAAAATGTCCACGTCATGAACAATAACAGAATGAAATCACATGCTAAGTCAGAATCAGATTAGGTGCAATTTGCACGTCCCTAATAAAGTTTCTTAATTTCCTCCACACTTAATATGACAAAGGAAAGGAAGTAGCATCAGGCAGCTATGTCCAGATGGTTGGCAGGTCTAGATTCGTTTGAACATTGAAGTAAAGTCTGAAGTAAGTACAGTCGCAGTCACGTCTAGGCTATTGTGATTCTCACCTAGCAACCATTTCGCTTTACGACCAGGTCCTTGGAATGGAACATAGAGTGGGTGCAATCAGCAAACCTGAGAAGGGTTCCAGGAGGCAGCTGCACAGGATTTGCTCCTTGTGATTCCCGGACCAGGAGATGTTTCAGCTGTGATGATTTTGTCCTGGTTGGAACTGCACAAAGTCCCTTTATCTAACCAGCGTCTCTGGTGGAGTAGGGAAGAGCCTTTTGGTTTCTATGCTTCAGAGTTGCAGCCAATGGTTTTCTGTACTTCCCTGCCAGTTCATCTACATCTGCGTTCAGAATTGTGGCCCAAAAGAATCTAGAGCTGCCAACCATTTGGACATAGCTGCCTGAAGGGAATTCAGAATTGGCTTGGGAAAAGTGATTTCTGTGCATTCAACTCCAAATTGGATCCCATCTCCCCCAACTACTTTGAGGGTTATTCCTCTTGGAGGGAATGGAGAACAAGCCTGCTGCATAAGTCCTCCAGGACTTCTTTGAGTTGAATCAACATTCCTTTTTGTTTTTTCAGGCATTCCAAAGGATACGATGCTAAAATCTCCCAAATGGGAGGAAGAGGCCTTGGACATTGTGAAGGTGAAGCTTCCCCTGGAGATAAAACAAGAAAATGATGGGGAAGCTAACTAACTAGGTAAGGATGCAGATTGTCAGTAACTGCAAACATTTCTGGGGTGCTTTGAGCCAAGATGGTTCTCTGCACTCTTTTTGAAACCCAGGGAAGTGCCAGCATCTTGCAGAAAGAGTTGGTTGTGCAGTCCTTGACATCTGATGGTCCACCAAGCCAAATGGCATTTTGTGGGGAAGGAAATGGTCCCAGTTTCCATCACAGAATTTTTGGTTCACGGAACCTTTGCTTGAAAGGATTAGGTTGCAGAGAATGGGAAAG